CCTATCCCTCGTGTGCCTTGCTCCCACGACTATATATATATATATATATAAAGGTTAGGAGTCTACACCAAATAGAGAACTTCCTATATATGTTATATATATCTTAAAACCAAGAGTCCTAATCATTTGGATTTCTATTTCTTTTAAGAAACTTATCAACACCAATTTCAATCCCACGTAAAATGTGATTTCCTTATATGGGTGATTTGGATATCACTGTATCCAACATGCCAAGGGTACAAATCTTTCCAGTTTCAAGCCCAAACAAGTAAAAGTCAGACTAAAAAACCTAAACAAACTAACTTGGCTTTTTTTTTTTTAAAGGGTGATGTTTGTATAAGGGACACTCTTTATATTATAGAAGTAACGTGCACCTCTAAATTTTGTCTGTTTTACATAGTTATGGTGTTGAAAACCATGTAATGGCATAAAAATCTATTTCCCTCCCTAGATATAATTTATTAGGCTAAAAAAGGGTGAGTAACCCAAAAAGATATGGTTGGAAGGAATGAGAAAATATATAGAAACTTATAGCCCTTCACAGAGCAGAGTGGCTGACTAGGATTCATGTAGCTGACCTCAAAACTATGATGATGATTCCCATATATAATTTGTTACAATAAATACTATTTTTAAGATTAGTAATTTTTTTTCTCATATGTATACATCTTGAGGTGGAGATGATCAAATTGAAGGATTTTCCAAAATTAGAACACTCCCCTAAAGGATTTTTGAGATGCACCTTACATTAATAGTATAAGGTTGATACCGTATATACTGAATAAATGAATAACTAGCTTCTATTTTCTTCGACGGTAAAAAGGGACAGATCCATCTTTTAAAAGATGTAATATTCTATCATGGTTTCCTTTCGAATATTTATCTTAGAGATAGATTTAGGATCTAGGAAAAGAGTCTCGGCTTAATTGGTTAGCGCTTGATGGTTTGTAATGCTACATTCGAAGCTCAATTCCTATCAAGGGTAGGGGGCCTCTCGCCATTGACTCACGCAAAGATAGATTTAGGATCTGAAATACATTCTAACTTGATCTAGATGGATTTCCGCTTTAGATCCATGACTTTACAACTAAAAAAATATCACAAATCTAATTAACTACACAGAATTTAAATGAACGATGATGAATACTCAAAAACCATAGTCCAAGAAATTATGTTTTGAAGGTTCAAAATTAACTATTTTTCATATTCATGGTCATGGTGCTCAAGATTAACAACTCAAAATTTTTAAGTCCGAAATAAATGTCCAAGATTTTTTTTAAGAGGAACACATGGGAATGGGTGTGTTGGCTAACACATCTAAACACATGGCATAAGAAAAAAGGATATAAAAATAAATAATGAGGTAAGGTGGTGTTGGGAACATTTGGAATTTAGAATTTAGAATTTGTTGTGGTTGTATTGACCACGTTTAAGCAGTTTTAGACCTTGCAATTTAGACCTTAGCTTATCACCTATGGAAAATAGTCTGATAGGGCTGCAGGCTTATCAAAATAAGTTAAGTCTAATCTCATAACTCATAGAAAATTGCAATTCAAGTATTGGAAACCCTTTCTATCGATTATCTCGGCTTGAACATTGTGGTTGTGAAACAAAAAAAACCCGGATTTTAAGCTCTAAAAATAGTGTATATTGTAACAAATTATCTAGAGTATCCATTTCACCCTAAAAGTAAGTGTTCACAAATTTACAAGATTTGTACCATTTTTTAAGTTTCAAATTATCATTGTTGAAAGTTGACTTTACAGCCATCATAGAGATTTTGTTGCCGAAAGTACTTTTCGACAAAGATTTGAGTAAGGCTATATTTTGTTTTCATAAAGCCTAGGTCTTATAGAAACCTCATTCATTATGTATTGTCATACACTTAAGCTCAGTTATGTGTTTTGACCATAAAACAACCAATGTCGTAGCTCTCCTCTGCTGCTAATAATTTTAAATTTTATCCATATAATAAAATATTTTTCGTTTCATTTTAAAAAGTAGCATTTGGCACTTCATATGCGGGAAAGCGTTACATGTGACCCCACCCGCATATAAAGTAGATGTGATGTTGCTATCAGCATCTAATCTGAGTAGAGCTGGCTCATGAACGCCAAATTTGGATCTGAGGGCTCTGAATGTTTCAATTTTTATTTTTTGCATATAAATTATTTTATAGTGAAATTCGAAACACACATGCATTTGAAAGAGGCGCGCATGATAAAAAAAGATTAAAAAAAATTCCCGTGATGAAAAATTATTAGGATACCCTTGAAACTTGCAGATCATTTAATTTTATGAGAATTATTATTTTTGCATGCCCCAATCACGGTTGAAAAAACCGGGCAATCTAACTGCTAACCACCCAGTTAGATGGGAATCAGCCACTGGCCTGTTTCGATTTTGGGCGGTTTTGGTGATCAACTGGTATTTTTAAAAAAAAAATAAAAAAAGTGTACATAAATTCTCAAAAATAAGAAATTTGATTTGTAATGTATTTTTTTAATATTCTTTACATTATGGTAAAGATTAAAAGTTGTTTTGGTCATTAATACTCACTTTTATACTTCCATCTTTTTCAAAAAAAATTAAAAATACCCCTATGTACAAATTGATTCATTAAAATCCATTTTTTCCATTAATTTTTAACTTCATTGGAATGTGTTTTGTGTTAATCATTCTTTATATGTTTTTCATACTTTAGTAGATTTTTTTGTGTGTTTTGTATTAAACACTTTTTTGACTGCCCGGGACTTGTCCAGTTAGAGTGGTTGAATCGACCGGTTGACCCCTTAGGCCGGTTAAACCGCTTCT